ACATGTTTCTTCTTCACTCTTACTGAAAAAAAAAAAAAAGACTTGAATTTATTTTACAAAAAGTAAAGTGACATCTTATCAATATTAATTAAATAACTTATAATTTTATCGTTTTTTTTTTTTTTAACATATTTGTAAGGGGCGGGTTTCGAACCCAGCCCGGGGAGGAGAGAATGCATCGGGATGGCTATTGTCACTAGGCCTCAAGGGCCAGGTGCTTATCGTTTAAATAATATTAAAGTATAAAATAAAAATTATTACATAAAAAGATATTTTTAATATCAAAAAATTCAATTAAATTCAATGATCACATTTTTTTATAATTAATAAAAAAAACTCTTAATACTAATATTAATATTAGTACTATGATAGTCCCTCCTCATAAATAATGATAAAGTGAGTTGTCCGTTGTTAGGTCAGGCTTTAAAACTGCAAAGCCTTAAATTTACTACTGATGTTCCCTTTTATTTTTTTCTTTTCTTTTTTTTTTCTTAAAGATATTTTTGGTACCGATGTGTCAAAATCAGATGGTACTGTGAGGGTTGATCCATTAAACAATTTCAAGAAATACAGATGAGGGTATGACATTACAAACGAGTGTTACTGGAATGGAATTCTCTCTCTTTCGAAAGATTAGACATTTTGCGTTCTTTGTTCTTATTCTTCCCTTTTTTTTGGTAGAATCTTATTCTTCTCTTTTAAGGGTATTGTTTTGGTTTTATGCTGTCAACTCTATTTACAGGCGTCTATGGGTATGCAATTGGAATTTTATGGCTTCTATGTGGACTAGTATATGGCGGCTATCTTTCGGCCACTACATTCTGATTTAAGGGGACTCAAACAAACAGGAGGCAAAGAGATCATTCAAATTCTAATTAATTCAGTCGAGAGATAGCATTTTTGAAAGAGAAATGCGCAAGCAACCTCCATAACTGCGGCTACAGCAGATACTTTATAGTCTGTACAGGAAAACATCACAAAAAGTGGTAATAATAATACCCAGAAAAGAAACCCAAACTGGCCGGTTTTGGAATTGTCGCACCCATGTAAATGTTTTAAAAAAAAATTCCCAGAAAAGAAACAAAGGAAATAGACAGATATTTATAATTTACCCTACAATTATAGGAAAGTAATAACTACACTAAATTACTCTTCATATATAGAACATATGACCTTTCCCAGCATGATCCAATCCCAAAAATTGTTCAATACTCCTTGACATTATCATTATTACATAAGTCAG